TCAGATGCATTAAATTTGAGAATAATTAAAAGATGTAAACATCATTCTTCAACTGCAAACATAAACTTGTACAATTAGCTTATAATGCAATATTAAAGTCTAACTATTTATCTGTGCAAATACTGAAAAATATTTGTAGTTAAAATCAGTTAAATTTGAATAAGCTAACAATTTTCCGTAATTTTCAAACAATCATCTAATTACGAACGCTTGATCGGACAGAGTAATCATTTTTCAAAGAGGGAGCTTTCTCTCTCTCCTTTTCTCTCTTTCTCTTTCGATAATATATATATAATATATATACATAAACAAATTTATATATATATATATATACAGGGTGTTTCATTTTAATCTAGCCAGGCGAATATTTCAAACGCTGTTGAGTTTAAGAAAAATGTTTCAGACGAAAGTTGTAGGGTTCGGAGGGGGACACAAGATGATGGGCTTGAGTTTTTGATGAAGGTCAAACTAAAGGTCATACGAAGATCAACTTTGTTTTTTTAAATGGAATGTAGTATTTATCATTGCATATTCTGAAAGAACATAAAATTCTGCGTTAAAATTGTCTGACACGTTTTTCATGAAAATCCAGAATTTTTTAGGAAATTTAGCAATTAAAGAAAAAAAGTTTGTTTTTCGTAAAGAGAATCATGCCTCAATTTGTACATGTTCATAAACATTTTTTGTTCTTAGAGTTACCCGGAATCAACGGCGTGAACGTGACGAAAATCTGATCCCATCGGGATGCTTGATTACAGTAAAGATAAGATGTATCTCATACGGGCATTTAATGAAGCATATGAGTAATTCTTTCAAATCATGTAAGTAATCATCCGATACTTTTTTCTTTTGTAATGAATGAAACGTGCCTAAGGACGAACGCGATACGATGTAAGAATGTAATAATGGAAGTACGAAGAAAAATGAACGATGACGCCCGCGTAAAAAAATGAAATTGGCGACCAACTTGGCAACAATGACTGATTATCTACAATGGCACTAATTCCTGAAGAAATATATGTTACGAAGAACGACGCTTTCACTTCAGCGTCGATTGCGCATGTGCTTAGCCGTTGAAGGAGACATTTTTGAACATCTCCTGTAATGTTAGTCTGATACGTAGTAAAAGGCGAGGGGACTCACTGTAATCAAGTACCCCGATCAGATTTTCGTCACGTCCACGCCATTGATTCCAGATAACTCTAAGAACGAAAAATGTTCATGAATATGTACAAATTGATGCATGATTCTCTTTACGAAAAACAAACTTTTTACTTTAATTGCTAAATTTCCTCAAAAATTCTGGATTTTCATGAAAAACGTGTCAGACAATTTTTTAACGCAGAATTTTATGTTGCAGAGTCATGGTTAACGCAGAGTTTATAATTATATCTTTTAGAATATGCAATGATAAATACTACATCCCATTTAAAAAAACAAAGTTGACCTTCGTATGACCTTCAGTTTGATCTTCATCAAAAACTCAAGCCCATCATCTTGTGTCCCCCTCCAAACCCTACAACTTTTGTCTGAAACATTTTTCTCTAAAATCAACAGCGTTTGAAATATTCGCCTGGCTAGATTAAAATGAAACACCCTTATACAGGGTGGACCATTTTAATCTATCCAGTTGAATATCTCGAAAAATAAGCAATCGAATATCGTATATGAATATTGTGCTTATTAATGATTCACACGCATTATTAGCAAGATGTATGAATGATCTTGCAGCTATCCGGATTTTACGCTTGAAAAGACATATTTGAAATAATGGTCGTGAAAAATAGGTGTCATGGTGGTGGTGAGTTGTGGTGATGAGTGGTGGTGGGTGGTGGTTGTGGGTGATGGTGATGGGTAGTGGATGGTGGTTGGTGGTGGTGTTGAGTGGTGAAGGTGGGTAATGGTGGGTCAAAGAAAATTTTTATTTTAAAAATCACATGATATAAAAAATTAAAACAAAATTTCTATTTTAAAAATCACATGACATAAAAAATTATCAAAAAAAATTTTTTACTTTAAAAATTACATGATATAAAAAATGGTCGCGAAGAGTAGGTGTGGTGGTGGTAGTTGTAGGTGGTGGTATGGTTGGTGGTTGTAGTTGGTGGTGTTGGGTGGTGGTTGTGAGTGGTGGTGGTGGATGGTGGTTGGTGGTGGTGGTGGGTGGTGATGGTAGGTGATGGTTGGTTAAAATAAATTTTTATTTAAAAAATCGAAAAATATAAAAAATCGTCTGAGGTCAAGTCAGTCATAGTTATTCTATACATTTTTCGATTCTTGAATAAGAAATTTTTCAAAAAATTTTTATTGTAAAAATCAAAAAATATAAAAAATCATCTAAGGTCAAGTCAGTCATAATTATTTTATACATAGTCATAATCATAGTCATTTTATATTCTTCGATTTTTGCAATAAAAATTTTTCGAAAAATTTCCTGTGTCAAAAATCGAAAAATCCATGAAATGACTATGACTGACTTGACTTCAGACGATTTTTTATATTCTTCAATTTTTGCAATAAAAATGTTTCGAAAAATTTCCCGTGTCAAAAACCGAAAAATCCATGAAATGACCATGACTGACTTGACCTCAGACGATTTTTTATATTCTTCGATTTTTGCAATAAATATTTTTCGAAAAATTTCCCGTATCAAAAATTAAAAAATCCATGAAGTGATCATGACTGACTTGACCTCAGACGATTTTTTATATTCTTCGATTTTTGCAATAAATATTTTTCGAAAAATTTCCCGTATCAAAAATTAAAAAATCCATGAAGTGATCATGACTGACTTGACCTCAGACGATTTTTTATATTTTTCGATTTCTGCTATAAAAATTTTTCATAAAAGTTTC